GGGACAGGCAATACCATGCCTGCGTCAACGCAGTGCTGAGCACACTGAACGACCCTTAAATAGTGGTGGCAGCCATAGGGAAGTGGTAAATGATGTCACCTGATTCATCATGAAACACCATACACACCAAATGACATGATCAGGCTTTAGCTCGGGCCACCTGGCCCGTTCAGTCTGTAGAGTGCCTGACTCTTGATCTCAGGGTTGTGAGTTCGAGCCCCACGTTGGGTGTAGAGATTACGTCATAAACTCTTAAAAAAAAAAAAAAAAAGCTGTAGTTCAAACATCATTTGTGGGGGTGGACCGGACGTTAAACATGGTACTCCCCCAACCTCCCGCCCTGGGGGGAGGAGCGAGAGACTTCTGATTATGCTCGTTCCCTTTGCTTTCTCCACCCACCAGGAGCAAGGCTTGGCCTCCCCTTCCTTTGCAAAGACTATTACCTTAGCAAGAGGCTGCAGAGGCTGGAATCTTTTCTTAGAATCCACAGGAAGTTTTGAGGCAGGGTTAGAAAAGCTGCAAATGGGAGTTGGGGCGCCAGGTTCAAATGCCGAGGAGCATACTTCCTCAGAGCACCAGCTTTCCGCATCCTGATGATGACGGCCAAAAAGTCTACAGCCTAGGAAAGCACTGGAAGGGCCATGCTTAGGCTCCTTGAGTCAAAGACTAAGGGAGTCAGTGGCTGTGAGGGCGTGAATGTGGTTAAGGTGGGGGCGGGGGTAGTTAGGAGAAGAGCTACAGATTTTTGCAATGAGGTTTTAAAGTTACTGCTTGAGATAGTGAAATAAGGCTAACAACATTATCAACTATTTAAATGTATGGTATCTCAAGAATGCATTGTATTTGGGAAATTCCAGAGGTGTCGTTCAGTAGGCTGCATTATAAGATAACCTTAGGGGACTGTGGTAAGATTATAGAAACCAGAAAATGTTTTACCTTGAGCTAAGACTCAACAGGGTTCTGGTGATGGTTTATCAGTCACCCAGCAAATCTCTGTTGACTTGGATCTGTTGTAAACGAGCTTTCTTATTTCACTTATGAATTAGGACTTAGGGAAAAAGTTGGTGTTTTAGTATGGGAGCAACATTCTGCCCTCATTTTAATTTTATTTCATTTGGTTCGGAAATTACTATGTTCGGCTTTTTAAGTTTCCTTTTGCAACTTACTTCGCCATTCCTACTTCAAATTCCAATTGAATTCAAATGAGAACTCCTTTAAAAAGAAAGGCAGTAGGAGGAGACGGAGAAAAATTTGGTCTATGGGTTCACCATCATTTTTGGAAAGAGGAGGGAAATAAGCTACCCAGAGCCCTGTTCTTTTAGCGGCTCCTGAAGCCAGAGAAACAAACACCTCTTGAAATGGTGCTGTGCAAAATGCCTATCTGTCGATCATTCTCTCATTGATCGCTTGCAGTTTAACTACTGGGAAAAATCAATGGGAGAGAGGCAAGGTCATCCAGCATGAGGCTATCTGCATGTGAGTGGGAGGGTAGACCACAATCACGAACAGCAACCTGACTATGCCCTGGGCCCGTCAACCCCTCCATCTGCTCTAAGGTAGCTACAAAACACATGGGGGAAGAGAGTCAGGCACAGTCTGGCAATACCTGGAACCTCAAGTTCAATGTCATTACATTGCCTCCTGGGACAACTCGTCCAGGTCACCCTTTCATTGCAGAATTTCTGAGGACTGATCTTTCCCTTCTCATGCTTCCTCGTTCACCTCCTTGGAAACATAAGTTTGCAGATGCTACGTTCTGCAATTTTGATATATATTGAGTAGTTCTATTTTCACAACTAGCTTACTTGAGGCAACGAGCCTCAGAGAAGGGTGGGGGAATCACTGATGAGGGGTCGACCCCACCCTTCTTGCACACCAGCACCTTCAGCCTCATTGGGCACCACACCAGAAACATCTGGAGATTATGAAGAACAATAATAACCACAATGACAGCAATGCTGGGCTGTCCACAGGCGAACTGGATCAAACTCTGTGGGGTGAAGCCTGGGGTTCCTTTCAAGCCAGAACTTCTCCCAGGTGATGCTAACATGCAGCATGGCTTGAGAAACACTGAGTTAGACCCTGCTACCTCTCCAGGATGAGAGATGAAAAAAAGGAAAAGGACTAAGACGTACATTTGTTGAGCCCCTCCTCTATTGCCAAGTGCCTCATCTTTTCTCATCCTCCCAAGCAACTGGAAAGTTATTCCCATTTTATAGATTTGGAAACTTCTGCGTTACTAAACCAGAGACGTTAATTTCCCTCAAATCTCAGAGCTCACAAGTGGCAGAAGGGAGACAGCGAAGAAGCACACCTCGACCCACACTGAAGACTCAGGAGAAATCAGGTGGGGCGTGTAGGAACTAGGGCTTGGAGTGCATTAGAATTTCAGGGCCATGAAACGGCGAGTTATTGAAGGAGAAGCATCAGGCAGAAACACCTGAGAGGAGAGAGGAAAACGTGGTTCATCAGACCAGAGAAGAGGCAGAAAGAAAAGAGGCAAAGGGTGAGGGAATACTAACGTTACCCTTACCATCCTGATTCTAACACGAACTCGAAGGAGCAGGAACTATAATCATCCCTCTTTGTAGACGGGATGTGAGGCACTGAGGCTTCTGGGAGGTCAGACAACACCTCCCAGGTTACACAGCCGGTGAGCGCCACACTGCGTTCTCAAAGCCCAGCTCCAGAGTCCATACCATGTGCTTTCCATTGCCCATCATTTCTCAAAGGAAGGAACAGAAGGATAGGAATGATTTTGTTTGGTGCTCAGAGGCAGGCCCTTAACATTCATCATCTGACAAATCCCAATGAATTCAACGAATCACTTTGTCCTTGAGAGGCGAATATGACCTCCAGCGTGGGTTAAGGGAGCGGGCTGGTGATGGTTAAACCACCTTGCTGGAGGGTGCGGAGAAGCAGCTGCTGCAGTTGCAAACCCGAGGTGCTGTGTTTGAGCCCGGACTCAGCCAGTTCCAAATCCACGTTCTGCAAGAACAACGCGAAAGTTGGAAAGAGTTTTAAAATACCAAAGGCCCCCCAAAACACAGAGCAACAGGCTCTAGGAAGGGAAAAACAAAACATGGGAGAGCACGGAAATGGATTTCATTATGTTGACTGGAAATTGGTTTATGACTGAATGAGAAAATATTTTAATTTTGTTTGGCCAGGAAGGAACCGTAAACAGGCAGCAGAAAGTGGTTTGGAAATAAACATTCTAAACAGATACCAGATATTCTTACCTATCTTTACTGGTTATTTAAATTTAGGCACAATCGTCTAGAGGGAGGATGAAGAAGCTGTATATGCAAGCTCTTCCCTTGGCGCCCACGTGGGACTAGGAAACCGCCAGCAGAGAGGTTCTCATTTGATTACACCTGACCTTGAAAACTCCGCTGAAATCACTTTCTTTGATCACTCATTTCACGCTACAAGTCTTGGCACTATAAATTCTAGTTTTAATTGAACTTACTTTCAAAGTTACAAAATAATGTGTTTTTTTATTAAAAAATAAATTTAAGAAAATAAGCCTAGAAGTAAAGGGGTAAACCCCAGAACCATTATCACTATCAGACTGATAGTCTTCCAGCTCTTTTTTTTTTTAATGTATATACAGACAGGAATACACCAGTATTATCAAAATCTTTTTTTTGCCCAACTACGATTACATTCTTGGTTGGATAAACCAGATAAATAAATTATCTATCCTATTCCTATAGGAATAAGAGATCCTGGAAGAAGAGATCTTTTAAAGACAAAACACATTTCAGGCCCAAGAAAAGTGTAAAGCATACATATAATTTTATATACATATAATTTTATTTTATTTTATTTTCATGCATGTATTTTAAATGCAAATTAAAATAATCTCTTCTTGATTTAGAGCAGGAAATAGAGGACTCTGATAAGGAACATCATCTTATAACCCTAGAGCTCCCCTTGTCACCCTTACATAGAATAAGCACTCAGTTAGTACTTCTTGAATGAATGAGAAATTGTCCCTTTTTATGGTAGTTTTATTTTGGGTTAAATAGTGTCAATACTAAGAATAATAGAAACAAACACATTCACATGTAAACGTTGTAAAGAGTGTCGCAAAGGAAATGACCAATCTTATCATCATCTATTTTGGATTATTCAAGCCAGAATTCACTTCCATTTTTACTGCGAGTGACATATAAAATTAGCCCCATTCCTTTTTCACCATGTTGAGCCTTTGAGACAGCCCCACCGCTCATCACCTGACTCTTCACGCCTGTTGTGTGCGCACATGCGTGCTTTGTTCTCCAATGAATTGTGGCTCTGCAAGTGGGGGGAGTCTCTGTTGGTTTCTTTCATAGTCTCCCCGGCGCTTGGTACACATTCGGCGCACAGTAGGTGTTCAATAGATGTGTTTTGACTTGAGTGAATCTCGTGACTGTGTGAGTTTGCTAGGGCTGCCATGACAAAGGACCACACAGTCTGAGTGGCTTACGCCACAGAAATTTGTTGTCTCACGGGGCTGGAGGCTAGATGCCTCTGAAGTTGAGGAATTGGCAGGATTGTTCCCTTCTGAGAGGGCCCTGAGGGAAGCGTCTGTTCCGGGCCTCTCTCCTTGGCTTGTGGGCGACTGTCTTCTCCTCAGGTCCTTTTGTGTCATTTCTCTCATACGTGTGTGTCTCTGTGTTCAAATCTTCCCTTTTTTTAAGAAGACACCAGTCACAGTGGTTTAGGGCCCACACCTATGACCTCATCTTAACTAATTACAACTGCAATGACCTAATTCCGTATAAGGTCAGATTCTGAGGTACCTTGATGTATCAGTTTTAGGGGGACGCAATTCAACCCATAATAGTGACCTTCCACAGAATCATGAAAATTCAATGTGTTCACTCTGCCCACCTGAAGCCTGAACTCTTCTTTGCTCAAGCTGAGAAGAACGAGCAGAATTTTGACAATATTTTGGCAGTGGGATTTTAGGGTTGTTTCTGGTTTCTAACGTGTCTGTGTATGCTTTCCAGAATGGTTCCCACTGCCGAAGCCTCGACGCCTTCAGATTGTCTGGGACAGGTAAGCACCACCTGGGAAAGCCTCTCTTTCAAGCAGGGCCTCAGTCTCCTGACCCTCAGTCCACCAAACACGCAGCCCGTGAGCACCTGATCTCTGGAGGCCGACAGGGCCCAGAAGATGCCTCCAGGAGAGCCAGCCACCTGTGAGTGTGTCTGTTTTTCTCTATGAACCACTTTACTTTCAGTGAGTTTGGTCATTAAAATTGTTTTGTGCCCCTCGACCATGTCCGAGGCCCTGAGAATGAGGGAATGTTGGCCTGCAAGAAAACCTAGTGGGTTTATTATTCTCCGACACAGAGAAACCAAATAACGTCATTGAGTGGCTATTGGAGGGGGGGCCAAGTTGATTCATGGAGGTCATGCTTTCCCAGGCCCTCTCCACGCAGTCTCGGCTCAGACCAGGGCAGACTTTTATTACCAGCTTTCAACAAATCCCTAGTTTCTTTTACAAAGTAAAACAGATAATAGAGACATTCCCGGAATAGTTAGCTAACTAAGCCGTGCCAGGCAACCTCAGGGCTAAGAAGAACTCAGTGTTTTCGGACAATGACCAATTACAATAACCAGTATTATTTGATCTGAGAGTAATTAGCCGAGGCTCTGTTCTTTTTGCTTCAGTGAGGAGGCAAAAAGGGCAGTGAGGAAAACGTCAGAGACAGGGGAAACAGCTCAAATGTCAAAGAAAAACACACTCACGCAGGTGGGGAGAGGGGAAGAGATCCTAACTGAATGTTTGAACATCGTTCTTCCCTGAAAATGTGGTAGGGTTTAAACCAACTGAATTTTATTTGACTTTTTTCATGCTTACTGTTCCTGTGCTAAAAAAAAAAAAAAAAAAAAAGCCTCCATGTAGAGAGGTCAGAACATAGAGCTGCAGGCTACCGAGGACCTCTTGTTGGGAGGGACAGGTCTCCTCGGCAGGGCTCTGCTCATGTCTTCAAGCTCACCGTGTCGCCTGAAACCCCTCCTGGTTTCGGAGACAGGTTCCCTGGAACCAGAGCGGCTATTTACCCTTTCATGCAAGATGAGCGAACTTTCTCTTGTCGGCAGAGTCAGGCTCCCCATCCCCCCTCTAGAGACGTTTGGATTTTAGCACCGCTCCAGGACTTTCTTCCATTTCACTATTGGTTTCCAAAATAAACGGTGACTCCAAACCTGCTAACCACATTACTACCCTGCGCGGCTGCTGTGGACACTGCTGCATGGGCCGAAGAAAATGCCAGAGCCTCCTGCCATGGCTACACCAGCCCTTCCTCCTGGGCTGAGCAGGACTTGGATTCCCTGAGTATCCATCCCTCTGCCTTCTCCGACCACACACAAGACCCACCACCTCTGCCCATTGCCTCATCCAGGCTCAACCTTTGCTTTATCTCAAGCTTCTGGTTTCTCTTTGCTCACATCTTCAAACCAAGGAGAATGTCTAGGGACGTGCCACCTGATACAGTGGCCACTAGCCACATGTAGCTCTCTAAATTTAAGTGATTAAAATTAAACTTTAAACTTAGTTGCTCGGCTGCACTAGTCTCATTTCAAGGTTCCAACAGCCAATGTGAGTAGTGGTTAACGTATCAGATGGGGCAGAACCAGCGCATTTGCATCGTCATGGAAGGTTCTGTTGGGCAACACTGGTCTAGATGATCCCGCGAGAAAATTCTTGGCTCTGAGAAGGACTTGGGGGCTCAACCAAGGCTAGATGGAATGTTCGTGATGCATTATTTCATTTATTCCTCGCAAATCAAAGTCCCGGTTGCAAGAGGTGGAAACCGAAGTTCTAAGAAGTGGCACAACCTGGCCACGGTCACCAGACTCAGGAAGGCAGAGCCCAGACCCATCTGGTACACAGGTCTCTGTGACTTTGTCCACCGAGTCGGGTGGCAAGTGTGATGGGTAAAGAGGAGCGGAGGTAGCCCCGGCTTTCCTACAGGATTTCTGCAAGGTGCAGAAGAAGCGTGTGCGGGCCATGACTACAGCCCAGGGCGCTCCCTGGGGTTGGATGGTGACCCTACAGACAAGGGCCTAGGAAGCGCACACCCGCTTGTCAGATTGATTGGAAGATAACAGCTTCTTTGATGTTGTTTCTTCCCAGGGTTGGATATAGTTCTCATTGTGGGTGCCTGCTTCACCACGTCCTGAACTGGCAGCATTAAAAAAGGACCCCCTCTCCTGGAACAACAACAGAAAGGTCATTATTGGGAAAAAAAACAAAACAACAACAACACGCTATTTGAATAATGCCTGCAGCTCAGTTAAGAGCATTGTGCCAATATTAATTGCTTGCCTTTGATCATTTGACTACAGTTCTGTAGAATGCTAACACTAGGGGAAGCTGGTAAACACATAACTCTGGGGACGACTCGTGCAATTCTTCTGCAAACCTGAAATTACTTCCAAATAAAAACCAATTGAAAAATGGAAAAAAAAAAAATAGTGCCCACTCTATCCCTGCCCTTTTCCTCTCTCTATAGATCCAGGGGAAAACAACAAAGAACCCAGGTGAGCTGACAATGACCGGCCTTGCTCTGTAGATAGGTAACACCCTTGCCCTGGAAAGGTGAATGGCGGTAACCAGCGCTGTGGAGAATTTTATACTCAGAGCCAGCCTGGGCTGGGAAATCAAGGTCATTGCCTCGGGCCCTGGAGAACCACCAGGTTTTCAATGTGCCCTGTGATGGCCAGTGTATAGAGCGTCACACAACCACAGAGCCTGATCTTCCTTTTGTTTTATTGTTTGTGTTTCTATTCTGGACTTCCAGAAATAAGTGCCAGTGTCCTCACACCCAGCACTTCCTGCCCGATTGATTTACCATTTTAATCCTTTCTGCAACTTTTACAAGCGAGGTCTGTGACAATTCAGGTCTGCTGGAACCAATTTGTTTTCTGCGACACAGAGACAGGAACTCTCCCAGACTGCTGGTGGAAGTGGGAATTGGTACAACTAGCTCGTATTCTTAATCAGAAACTTCAACGTGTTGTACGGTCCTCAACCCGGGGATTTCGTTTCTCAGGACTCATACCTAGGAAATCATTGCGCAGGCGCACAAAGATTCCCCATCGAGGATGTCACAGCATGATTTTAATGGTAGCCTCTCACCTCTCGCCCCCAACAAAAAGGACACAACTCAGATAAAGGTCTGGCTATGGGGGCGCCTGGGCGGCTCACTGGCTTGGAGCCTCTGCCTTCAGCTCAGGTCATGGTCTCAGGGTTCTGGGATTGAGCCCCGCGTCGGGCTCTCTGGTCGGGCTCTCTGCTCAGCGGGGAGCCTGCCTCCTCCTCTCTCTTTCTCTCTCTCTCTGCCTGCTTTGCCTGCTTGTGATCTCTCTCTCTCTCTCTGTGTGTCAAATAAGTAAAAATCTTTAAAAAAAAAAAAAAGAAAAGGTCTGGCTATGAAAATTATGGAATGCCCACATAACAGAATGCCAGCCAGCTATTAATATAATATCCTAGAAGGCTATTCAAAGGCCTGGGAAGATGATGGAGATCCTCAAGTGGGAAAAGTAGGTTATAACAGCAGGTAGAGTATGATCTCCCTTTCTTTGTAAGACAAAAAAATAATACCCACTTAAAAATAAAGGACTAAAGAAGAAAAACTGAACATCAAAACAATAGTGACCATCTTTGAGTAAAAGGGGTTATCTCAGAATGATGGGATGGTTTTAATTCTCTTTCTCTGCATTTTCTAAGTATTCTACAATAAATATGTATTATGTTGGGAATGGAACGCTTCTTGGTTCTAGAAATGTTATTAGAAGGAGGGGTTCCTCAGAGGATATTTTTGTCTTTAATAACAGACGCTCATTAATTGGGTAGGTGGGTTCTCCTAATCCTGCCAAGATGCTCCTGGTGTGTTTGGTATTTAACATCACAAGCCTAACACATAATATTTTTTCGGTTTTTTTTTCAAAATTTTATTTAAATTCTAGTTAGTCAGCATATAGCTTAATATTGGTTTCAGGAGTAGAATTCAGTAAGTGTTTCATCACTTACATACAACACCCAGTGCTCATCATAACCAGTGCCCTCCTTAATACCCATCACTCATCTGTCCATCCCCCACCCACCTCCCTCCATCAACCCTCAGTTTGTCCTCTACCATTAAGAATCTCTTATGGTTTCTTTCCCTCTAACACATAATATTGATTAACATGTAGCCTATGTGAAAAGGCACTGGTGGGCAAATTAACATTTGTTAATGTCACCTTTCATGCCAATTTTCATTTCCAAAGTAATTATAACGAGTGAAGAATCGCCCTAACAAGAGTTAGAGGAGGTGGCAAATTATAGAAATGTGATGATAAAGGCAGTGGGCTGTAAGCAAGAGTGTAGATGGCAGAAAGAAGCAGAACTATACAAACATGGAAGTCAATTAGCATCTGTGCTCAAAGAAGCAACATTTGTATTCCCAGGGCTCTTGTCTCAGCTCCCAAATGAGAGTGCAATGTGCCAGTCACAAGGTAGAGATCATCAGGACTCTTGGCCAGAATGGGTGGTCCCACTGTAAGTGCTGCTGGTAAAGGCTCGTATTCAGGAGGGCACAGACTTGGTTTATACAGGGAAGACCAACATGCACTTGGCCCACGGGAGGAAGGAGCTGGAGAAATGGGTGGTAGCCATCATAGCATAGGGGCCATGAGCCTGGAACAGAATGCAGGCACCACTAAAAACCTTGACACACTCTTGAGGGAAGGGTTGGGTTAGTTGAAAAGGAAAGTCCTAAAAAAGAAGCCTTCATATTGCTGATCAGTATCTGCTCGCCTTTCTTTCGTTTGGTGGTGATGGCCAGTTCTTTATATATGAGTCCCCACTACCCATGTAAGAAGTTCCATCAGCCCTTCCTGGCTTCTCCAGCCACCCAACACAACCACAGTCTAAATACAAAGAGTATGCATGCCATGCTAACTCAAGTTCAAAATAGGTCCCCTGGCCTTCCTTGTCCAATGAGATTGAAGCTCCTAAGCCTTGCCTATAGAGCAGTTCTGTAACGATTCCATTATTATGGGCCAATGGGTAGGAGTATGTGGATAGAACCAACCATTGATTGGGGTGGGATTGTGGAGGCGAAAGCTGCTGGATGCATCACTACCGCCCACCATCAACACCTACCCACCCATCCACCCCCTGGAGTTTCATGGAGCGGGTTCAGGGCATGATTTTGGCACACATTTCACCTCACCCCCTATAGCAACGGTGCACTAGATAAAATTTTTTTTTGCAAGATTTTCCTTGAATGTCCCTCCAGATTGGTACTAGACCCTAGTGATCTATACCACCTTCCCCATTCCAAAGCCCCCTTCATTGGCCCTGAAAACCTGCGTCTGGGGAGGGCACCCTGGAGGGACCAAATGCCTTCTGGCCTTTTCTCAGGCCGCAAGCTAATGAGCAGGCCTCCACCCCATGTTCCCTTCTCTTTTAACTAGCCTGGAAATTGGCAAGGACTGGGCATTTGCAAATTTTCCTCCATCTTAAGTCTATGAAGCAATGACTGCTGAGTTTGAAGGTAAAGTTATCTGTTTGTACAAAGAGTTGTATGTCGTGGGAATCAAATATCCGAAATTCTCTTAGGTAAATCTTATGCAAATATTAGGCCACTTACATCTCTGGGCCAGGATTTGCAGCATCACCATGTCATGGTACCCGGGAAGGGAAAGGGTATCAGTTCTTTGTCCATTTAAGTTGGTATGCACATTCGACATTAAATAAGCCCATTTATTTTTGCTTAATTGGAGATTTGCCTGGCCAGGCAACCTAATTCTGAATGTCAGACATCAGTCCTGCGGTTAATTGCCTCCTGCACAGTTTTGGTCTCATGGATCAGCAAAGACTTTCAAACATTATAAGTAAATAAGAAAATTAAGGCTCAAAAGTCCTGCAGGATCAGCCCCTGCCACCCTCCCAGCTTCATACCTGTCCCCTCTCTCCCTTGGTCCCAGGCCAGCCAACTGGCCTTTCTTCGTCTTCTTAAACTCACTCTTCTCCCCTCATCCCCTGGGTCTCTACCAGGCTCATACATGCCTCTCCCCTGCCCTAATTCCTCAGCTCTCAGCTCAAGTGCTTCTTTCTCAGGGAAGCTTTCCCTGACCAGCTCTTCCCAGTCTAAGTCAGATATCTGGGCCTTCTCTGCACAGGTGTTTATGTATATCTATGATAACTTGCTTAGTGTCCGACTCCTCCCCTAGACTAAGCTGCCAGAAGACAGAATCTTTCCTGTATCTTCCAGAGCCAGCCACCTACTAGCACATAGTAGATGCTCAACTAATAGATTTGCTCGTCTCCAAATTTACAATGCAAAACAAGTCCACTTGAGGATTTGTCCTTACTGTAATCTGGGCACTTGAAGAGTTATCTCTCTGGACATAAAAAGAGTTATCTCTTCCTATGCTCCATCTCAGGGGAACCAAGAGAGCGTCTTAGATAATACCCTGGGGGCTGAGCTTCAGAAACACTGGGAGTAAGTGTGTTTTACACCCAAGATTCACCCTCCAAAATTACCTCTAATCTTCCCTCCCCTCCAGGAAGCTATGCTTGCAGTCCTTGCAATATACCCAACTGGGCTTTTCTGCTTGGGGGGCACCATCCCACAAAGCAGCATCCTTAATTACACATTTCTGCTTCTATAATTCTATTTCTGGGTCCTTTATGTATATATACATGGTACCCGGACCCCATGGCAGGGGCAGGGGGGCAGCGGTGGAGGCTGAATGAGAGAGCACACCGAGGTTGGGTAAACTTTCCAGTGGGTCGGTTATTTTTCCACGTGCCATCAACTTGGCTGATCTCAGGAAAACGCTACTTGAAATGTTCTCTTAGCCATCTCCTTTTCTCTCCTTTTCTTCTTTCTCCCTTTGTTTTTCAGAAGGGAGGCCTTTGGAGAAACTCTTTTTCTCTTCCACTTTTCCAGGTTGGGCAGGGTTCCAGAAGCTGAGGACCTGGCCTCCCAAATGCTGAGAGGCTTTCCTAGAGACCGTGTCTCGGCCCAGGAAGCCCTGGTTCATGAGTATTTCAGTTCCCTGCCATCTCAGCTGCACCGGCTTCCCGATGGTGAGTGACGGAGCCGCCACGTGCCTCTGTGTATGTGTGCGTGCGTGTGTGTGTGTGTGTGTGTGTGTGTATACACGCACGCATGTAAGTCTCAGTGTCTAAATGTTTTCTCCAAGTACTGGGGAATCACAGTATTTGCAACCGGAAATGAGCTTAGGGATTGAGTTACCAGGGAGAGAAGCAACAGGGGACCCAATCTTGCCTGGGTTTTCTACGAGAGTCTCTAAAACTCAAAAGCCCTGGTGGGTTGAGGTGACACAGACCTCCTTGTGACGATCCGAACATTTCACATAGACGCTCTTAGTAATTGGATGAGATGAAAGTTGCCACTGACTTGTTTCTTTTCCCTAGCATCTGCCAGGAGAAGCAAAACCAAAGTTTGCCACTACCCCCTTCTCTCTGTAGAGAGTAAGATGATAGGTGACATGGAGATGTCACAAGAGGAGAGCTGGCCTGTCTTGATTGGTAATTTGATGCTGCTGAAGGAAGTGCCCGGTGGGGCGCTGGTGGGGAAGGGTGCTGGGAGGAGGGGCACATCCTCCCAGGCCAGACGGCTCACGGGGGAAACACAAGTTACCCTGAAATCTGCCTTGCTGCCCGGGGCCTGAAGTCATCCTCTAAATCTGAAATCTGCTGAGGGATCATGTGGCTGGAACTCTCCTCATGTTTCTCGGAATGTGGCCAGGAAGGGCAAGGCAAAGGATGTGGGCAGTGTGGTCATGGTCTGGCTGTTTTGGGGGAGACCATCTTTAGGTGGGGTTTCTTTGGAAACAATCATCATGCAACTGAAAACAACCTTTAGAAGCCCTAGGCAGAAGGGGAAAAAAGCTAATAAGGAAGGTGTAGGGGCTCGGCCTGGGAAGAGGGACCTGGCGTGGTGTGTGTGGTGACAATGAGGACAGAGGACAGAGCTGCTGTCCCAGAGGCGTAGACATTCAGTCTAGCCAAAGCCTCCGGGGTCTGTGAATGTGGCTCCGCTGTATCTAGGACATTGTCCTGTCCCAGCCCAAAGCTCTGAGTTTGGGACTTCTTAAGGCATTTTATTATTAAAATGAGTTATTTCGGATCTCCAAAAATAACCATAATCATACAACGGGGGTTAATGTCTTACTTAACCCTGTAGGAAGAGTGAGTCATCAGGATTTATGAAGTTGCCATTAAGTGTCAAGAACATATTAAGTGCTATAAAGATTGAGGGAAAAAAGAGGCTTGTCCTTGACCTCAAGGATCCTATAGCGTGGGAGGAAAAGGGGGTGAGGAAGAGGAAACAGGGCACCCTTGTATACATATTAGCACAAATCATATCTAAACAGCTGAAGTCTGTGCATAATAAGCTACAGATGCTGAGAGAATATGTGTGTGCTAAAGGCAGTTCCTTGGAGGAACTAGAATCACGCAAATGAGAGAGTTTGGACTGGAGGTGATTCTGGAGTGGAATTTGGAAGGAGGGAGGGGCACTGTGTGGCATATGGTGGAACAGAAAACACTCCGGGCCACCTCCACTACTTACTCCCTTTCCAATACCCAACTCCCTCTGTACCCCCCATCCTCTCCCCTGTTCCCACTCTAAGCCCCCAGATCCCCCTTCAGCTTTCTTCTCTTGGGCCTGGGACTTCGAACTAGCCCTTCAGGCAGAAACACACATTCAGGAGCGTGCACGTGCGCACACACTCACGCTTTCGCACTCTTACTCACGCTCCCTTCTCTCCACTTAATGAAACTTCCGTCATGGGCCCTCCTCTGGCATCTCTTTTTCTACGTACTGAGAACCGCCGCGGCCCTTCAAAACGTCCGAGGCTCGAGCTTTTACCTGATAGAAAGTGATTAGCCAGAAACAGCCACTGTCCAAAGTGATGTGTTGTTAGAAACTTGGGTTTTGTTCTTCCTGGCCATCTGAAGCAGAGCCACCGACAGAGGGGCTCTGCAGTGCCTGAGTGTGTGAGTGTGTGAGTGTGTGTGTGTGTGAGATAGAGAGAGAGAGAGAACGCACGTGCGGGGCTAAGAGAGAGACCCATCTGTACTTCTCCTCTGTACACCCAGCCACAGAGCCCAAATCTACTTTGACGCTTTTAGAAAAATGAAAAGATGGAACCTTGCAGGAGCCTGCCTGCGCTGGGGGGGAGCTGAGGAGTGCTCACAGCAGGAGGGAAGTTGACTTTTCTTTATACATACGGGGGTTTTTCCATGCAGAGTTTAAATTATGCCTGATAAAAGGAGTTTCGTGGATGTTTCAGTTCTTTCAAATTCTCCTGGCTTCCTCCCAATTAAGTGAGGTTTGTCAAAGCCACGGGGCTCTGCCGCGGCTGCCTCCGCCGACAAGCACTTCCTGCAGCGACATCTGCAGTCCCCGAGGGAGAAGATGAAAGGGCCGGCGCCAAGAGACCGGGAAGGGGGCGGCGGGACTGGGTGTGTGCGGGTGTGCGCGCCTGCGTATGTGTGTGCCTGCGGGAGGGGGGCCCAAAACAGGCTTAGAGACAGACCGACAGACAGGACGTGGGACAAGCAGACAGGGAAAGCAAAGCTATCAGGAAAATCGGAGAGAGAGACAGGGGAGCACTGCGGGGGCTGGATGGCACCTTGCACCTTGACAACGGTGCGCTCCGGGCTCTCACCGAGGACCATCTACTGAGGGTCGCACTGCCTTGGCCCAGCGGTGCCAGCCTGCTCTGTCATTGCCCGCGGCAATTAGCCTTTATGAAGAGCCTCCTTTGCAGACAGAGAGCACCAGACAGTTATCATGGTTCCCAGCCTGCAGGGACCCAGAATCCCCGTCTCGGTGGTAGGCTGCCCTGGGCGTAAGAATCACACAAAAATAAGACCCGCTCTTGTGCGTGGTTTGTAAAGAGAGTCTCCCTGCCGCAATTATGCAGGAAATTTTGCTCTCTGGTGGCGTTTCAGTATGGAAGCATTTAGGGGCTTCTACCTATATCATTTCATTATTCTGGTTTTATTAGGTTGCAGGAGAACAGAGTTGTCACTTTAAAATATATTCTGTTTCCCCTTTGATCTGGGAGATGCCAGCTCTTATTGTCTACCCTCTGAAGAAGACAATCTAAGCCTGAAACCTGTGGCTGCGAAATATGTGTGGATTGGAGGGACAGCCTCCTTCCCAGTGGAAGAGTGGCAGAAAGATTCCCCACAACGTGCAAGAACCGATCCCATCGAGCCGTGTCTGTTTCGCCAAAGCTGAGACTTTCCCCCAGATTGTGGCCCTAAGCGCATGGCCAGAGGAAAGCTGGGGGTTACTCGCCACGAAAATTCAAACTTCGGGGTTTCCAAGATTGGTTCCCTTTTGGAGCACGCTCTTAAGTGGAGAAGCATGAATATTAGAACAGCAAGCATGTGGGAACTTCCGCCAAGCTCTGACATGTTCCCTTACTGACTCTCTTCGAACACCTGAAGAAACATTTGTCGATGGAGAAATTATTGGTCGTCTCTCTCAAAACACACCCAACAGCAAGCTAATTGCTTCCGCAGATGGCCAGGGGGATGGTCTCCACTCTCGGTCACCGGCTCGCAGCCACCCTTCTGGTCCTCGTGGCTGAACCAGAAACGCAGAATGTCAGCTGGGGCAGCAAGGACCTAAAATTAGGTCCTTGGCAACCTCTAATCTTAGCTGCAGGTTCAGCTTCTTCATTTAATTCCCTTTGCCCTCAGCATGAACTTGGGCCCTGGGAAAGGAACACCGTGTAATGATTTGGGGGTGGGGGGAGTAGAAAATTATTAAGCTGCCCTTTCTAGAAACTGGCTCCACTCTGTTCCTGCAAGGAGACTTCCAAATGTTACCCTTGGAAAGTTAAGACTGATTTTGGAAGCTAGCCAGTTTGAACCACAGACACTGATCCACAAAAGTTTTTTTTGGGGGGGGGGGGTGTTTTGTTTTGTTTTGTTTTTTCTTTTTTTCTTTTAATCTGGGGTAGTAAATGCCACGTGATTTAAGAGTCTGGTCCTTAAGCCCTGGTCCTTGATCGTCAGGACATCAAAGGCTATCTCTCTCTGTGGGTTGGTCCCATTTTGCTTTCCAAATCCCAGACTTGAGTCTCTCCCATTCATTCCTGGACTAAATCCCCCTTCTCCTTTAAAACAGGTTTCAGCATCTTAGGGGGAAAAAAAAAATCCTAAGACTTGAAAGCTTACAATTGTTTCACAAGTAATTTTGCAAAAACAACTTACCAGAGTCTTTCTCATCATCAAATGCTTTCTTACTGCAGGCATGAAAGGCATGGCAATGACCTCTCCCACATCTCACACCACCCTAGTGTCTATACTCTGGAAGTTCTTCAGCACGCCTTGTCCATATTGCCCCATTAACATCTGAGTAATTTTTTGTTTTGCTCCAATAAAAGAATTTCAGGCCTTCTTTTAATTATCTCTTTACTATATTTGAGGTTCCCTTGATATCACTTTCCAAAGCTCACTTTCTCGAGGCTGAATTCCTTTGACTTTGCTTCCCCCCCAATACAGATTCCGTTTCTCTCACTCTTTAGTCCTGTTTGTTTCATTATTCTATTCTGAACCCGTTCCAATTATTTTACTTATCTCTGAGGCTCTGGACCCACATAGACTCAGATGTCTAGCATAGTGGGAGAATTCTGTTCCAGTTCATTCATTAAGTATTTACTGAGGGTCATTAGTATGATATTGAGTGATACAAAAATGAATTAGTCATACAGTCTGTCCTCAAAGAGCTTATAGTCCTTAAGGAAATGGGGCAAGTATATAAAGAGCCACAGTTCAAGTGTGAAGTGCTTTGGGCATTCGAGGGAGGGGAGATTAAATTCAGCTCTGGGGAACCAGATGGCCTCGTGAGTGGGCCTTCAAAGATTATTGGGGTCTGGATGGTTAGGGAGGAAGGACATTCAGGGAGAGGAATGTCCTCTTCTTCTTAATACCATCTAACATCATAGTGAAGTTGTCCTCTTTTTAATAATAGTGGCACAATCCTGACTCATATCATGGTTTTTACTCCTTATTGTACAGCTTCTTGAACAATTTAAATA